TGTGGAAAAGATTTTGCCGCGGAAAGCGGGAATTTGCCAGTCAGTGGACCATTTAACAAGCTTATCTATAGTAGCTTGCAGGGCATGTGCATCTTGTAAGGAGTTTATTGTTTTGTAAAACTTAAGGTCATCTGCGTATTGCTTGGACACAACTTCATTTTGTACGCCTATATAACCAAGATCAGCCGAGTAGATATTAAAAAGTATGGGAGACAGAACCCCACCTTGAGGGATGCCGCTGAGGAAAGGAAAGATATTAGAGTAGGATTTGTTTATACGAACCTGGAAAGTCCTTCCAGTAAGAAATTCTCCAATCCATTTGTATACTTTCTCATGGAATCCTAGCTTACTTATTTTGTGCAACAGCTTCCTATGGCTAACCTTGTCAAACGCTTTGGTGAAATCGAAATAAATTACATCGAGGCACTTCTTATCATCCAAAGCCGCTGTCCAGTCATTGAGGGATTCTAGCAAATTGGTCGTGACGGACTTCCCTGCTACGAACCCATGCTGAGAAGATGGGATTATTTTGTTCTCTTCAAGATGGCGAATAATATGAGATTTAAGAAGCTTCTCAAAAATTCTACAAAAAGAGATGTGATACTCACTGGCCTGTAATTGGAAATGTCCGAGGAAGGTGACTTTTTCAAGATAGGAGTGATATATGAATGCTTCCAGAGTCGGGGGACTTGAGAAAACATGATTGACTGGTTAAATATGTAAGCCAGAGGGAAGGCGATAGCATGAGCAATGTTTCTGACAAATATGAAAGGAATATGGTCCGGAGTGATAGAGTGTGAGCATGGCCACCTCATCAAAAGATTGTAGACATCGCTTGGGTCGAAATGGGGGAAGGTTTGCATTGTGCTTGAAATAGTGTGAGAGTATGGTGGAAGACAGTTGTCATCTTGTTGGAAGGTTTTGCTAAATTCATTTGCGAAAGCATTTGCCTTGTCCTTGTCATTCAAGTAGTAAATTACCCTCATATTTCAAATCCGAAAACTGTGTCTTCTTGCGGAGTCTAGACCTCATGAAGTTGTAAAAGCGTTGAGTGCTCTTAGACTGAATGATATTCTTTTCAACGTTTTTATTATATTTGAGCAGCCTCTCAGTAAACTTCTTAGAGAATGTGTTGTACTCATTCCAGTCACCGGTAAGCTTGGCATACCGTAAGAGACATTCTTTATGATCTAACATGTTCTGAAGGTAGGGAGGCAAATTCGGCTTGCTCGGATAGACATAAACCCAAGGAACGAAAGTGTCCATAGAATGATTGAGGATTGACAGAAACATCATGTATTTTTCTTCCACTGTAGGAACCGATTCGAAAGATTCCATCCATAATATATTAAAAAGGTAAGTTGCAACACGTGAGTAATCACATTTAGAAAATAACCTCTTCAAAACAGGAATCAAAGGTGGCATGCATACCGAAATATCAAAGCAAATACTAAAATGGTCGCTTTCGCCAATAGGAGACCTCACAGTAACATTTTTAATAAATTCATGGTCATTCGAAAGCAATAGATCTAGAATGTTACTCCCTCTGGTAGGTTCAGCGATAAATTGCTTAAAACCATGCAAAACAAAAGTTTCGGCAAGTGGGTGGTGCGATTCTTCGACATCGTTACATCGATCCCATTTAATTTCTGGGAGATTGAAATCACCTATTATAATTACCGGGATTGCTGCAGCCGCTAGATCGCTGATAGCTTTGGCTAACTGCTCAGTAATAGTGGATGAGGTCGACGGTGGTCTGTATGCTAATATAACCCGAAAGCGAAATTCAGGGGTGGCAATGTCCGTCGCAAGAATTTCATACCCTTGTGGAACAGACTCACTTATGATAACTGAGTAGTTTATAGTTTCTCTTATTAAAATTGCCACTCCACCCCCGGCTCTATGGCTTCTGTCACAACGCAAAATAGCATAGTCATTTATCCAGTCATTAAGCATAGAGGATAATGAGTGATGCTTTTTGAGCCAAGTTTCTGTGAAGAGATACAAATCGTACCTACCTCCGGCCACCAGGTCAAGAGAAGTGCAATTTTTCGGAAAAGATCTTAAAACTGTTTATCAGGAATCACTCCGAAATCAAAATGAAAAAACGGATGTTCATGCTGATCATTAACAATTGCAAAAAAAAGGAGACAAGAGCTTCAGTTTCCCCTGGTTGCTGAGGAAGACTGAGTTAAAACGATGAAGACGTTCTTCTCGCCTTCGCTCTCTCTCTGGTTTCGAGAGGGACTCTCTTAAGAAAGACCCCTCTCCCAGGGAAGGAGCGAAGACGGGGAGCCCGTCGCACTGCGAGTCGCTGGAAATAAGACGAGGGCATTACAACTTTCAATAATCTATTCTTGTTCTGAATATGACGGCCTAAGTCTGTAAACTGAGACGGGTAAGCATTCTATATCTAAGTGAGCTAGAATGTTAAGCACACTATTATAATCGTAACATAACCTATTCTAACAACAGAGTCCTTAAGCTCAGGAACACCCGCAATAACAAGAGATCGGAGCCGTTCAGATTCGATACAATCACGAATGATGACAGGCGAAGAAGTAGTTGAATGCTCTACTTTAGGTTCAGCCTCACTCAATGGAACATCGGGGGTAATACCAAGTTTCTGACGCAAAAGCAAATTTTCTTGACGGAGCTTGTCACGCTCCTCCCTAATATCGATGAGCTCATGGATCAGAGAGTTGAACGCATTCTTGACACAATCAGGAACCAATGCGGAAGTGTTGACCTCCCTCATAGCATCTTCCAAACAAGGTAGACTCGAAGCAGGGTATGACGGTGAACTCGAGGGGCATGATCGCTTAGTTCCTTTAAAAACGACACGACTAGGAGTGACCATCATTACGTCAAAAATAAGAAAATTTGGAACAGTAGACCTGCTTAAACGACCCGAGGATTGTATTGATCACGGGTCGTACGTGATCTTCGCGTGTGAGCAAATCAATCAAGAAAGAACGGGCGTCCCGATGATGAAGTGAATAATTAAGAATAAAACAGAATTTGGCGAGCTGTAGACTCGAAGCAGTTAATAACCAGTAATGGTGAAGAAAGTGTTCAGCTGGTAGCGCTCGTTCACAAAACAGACGAAATGCAACGTTTTACTTGAAAGAATGGAAGGGCCGTGCCAGAGAGCCAATAGACCCGACCGCTCACTGTCGATGCACCGAGCGAATTCTGCCCTCTGAGCCACTCGGAAGTTCGACTCCTTCTGAAATCGTACTTCAGGGATAGACGGCCACGGCTGACATCTGTCAGATTCAGCCATTTAAAGATATAGTGGTTTTGCAGGGGTATTATCGATGAAAAACATTTAATCCCAGCTCATCAGTTCTGTAACAGCTCGTCTCCCCCAACTTTGCCACTGCTCTGCGCACTACTGACCTCTTAACATACGCCCAGGCTTCTACGGCGCGGCCTTGACTCCGATCTAAGCTCTACTAACGATGCACACCAACCGCTTCTTTCAGTGTACGCCTACACGTGCAGTTTTACTTCAAGAGAGCTTGCCGCGAAAATGCTTTAATTAAGATTACGGTAATGCTTCTTTGCAGCTTCAACTTATACGCGACTGCTGGAGAGAAAAACCGACGGATAGACCGACTAGTGACAGTCTATGTAAAGCATTTGAAGGTAACTTTGCCTAATAAAGAAAGGGACTACCCCGTTAACGGTGGTGTGAGCATCATTGTTTGAAATAACGTTTGTCATTATGAGACTATGGTGACAAGTAAGGCAATTTAGTGGAGCCACATGTTCAGTATGTGAAGACTACACGACCACTCTTGAACTAGATGTCGAAGAGAGAACAAAGCAATTGCAGGAAGAAAAGAAAAAAGCAGATATTCTTCTAGGAAGGATGCTACTAGGATGTTCACTTCCCTATCTCAACATGGGAGGCCGGTATTATAATTTGGCCATAGAGGCGCTAGAGTACGGTAGCAGAGCAAACGCGGGAACGGATTAACCAAAACGCACGAGGCAAGGTCCTTGTTCCTCGTTTAGTTACGGACACTGAGGACAGCATGTGGCCCTTCGGTGAAGAATCTCTCTGCGGTAATATATATATAGCAATAAGTGACTGAAAGCATCTGCGTATCATAATTTAGCAACGCGACTTCCAAAAGATGGAATTAAGGTGGCTTTAAGTGGAAACTAGTACAGGCTAGTAATTCATCGATGGTTTTGTAGTCCTAGTATTGAGTGGCTAGAAACATACAAGAACACATGGTGGGTGGAATGATGGTGTGAGTACGAACCCCACGCCTCAAACTACCTATTTGCTGCGATCTCCGTCGTTAACCTACCTACCGTCTCCTAGGTTTTCCCATTTTTCTACCACTTCGATAAAAAACCCTTCCATCCTCCCCAAAAATCTGCACCGAGCATGCTGGAGAAAGCAAGTTTTAAGCACACCTACTAATTCAAGGTTTAGCAAAATATGCAAAATAGATTGTTGGTAACTGCTGTCGGCGTCAGCAGCTAAGGAGACGGGTGTATACAGCGATTGGAAAAGGAAAACATGGAAGTCAACGAACAACAAACGCTTTCGCAACTAGAGATCGATTTTCCTGAATGCAACTGCCTTCCACAGACTCCCTGCGACCGAGCACGAGTGGCGCGGTGCTACTCCTTGCCTAGGATTGGATGCTTTGCTGATTTTCTTTAGTGCGCCTTTTCATAAACGCAATCAAAATGCCTCCGCAAAACGCATATGCCACGGGACCCAGGTAAATCTTTTTCTAACTCCGGTCCTGTATTCACCCCATATCCCAGCCAATTCATGCCGACTGTTGTGCCCACTGCCTTCAAAATTTAATCAATGCGATTTTTGTCAAACAACGAAATCATCTCTCTGAAAAAGCTCGAGAAAGCTCAACGAATGTTATAGTTCGAACTCATTGAAGAAATTGCAGGCAAGTGGCAGATCGCCTGAGATTAGGCCAGACAGTTGAGCCCGAAGGCTTTGACAGCGTCACAGTGTTCTTCTCCGATGTTGTCAAATTTACACAACTGGCTGCTAAGTGCACTGCATTCCAAGTACGGTATATTTTACTATGTTGAATGGGTCTTGCCATCATTGAGCAAACTGCTTTACGCTAATTACGTACATTCAGGAATTCTTGAGTACTATTCACCACCTCGTGCCATCTGTTGGGTAGCTAATGTAGCTGTGATTCCACAATTACAGTCCATCATTGCGGACCGGTGGGGAGCATGAGTGTGCACACTGTTGAAGCCGTTCTCAGCCTTTTTGAAACGCGTATGCGACAAAAAGTGGTAGAAAACGAGTAATACGAAGGATATAATACAGTAATGTCACTTGCCCGCTTCAACAACTGGTGCAGAACGACTTTGGCACCGCGCCAAACGCAGCCGCACTGACACGCCCCACCGGTCCGCAATGATGAGGACTGTACATATTAGGTCATCCCATTCAAAAATGTGGAGACATATAGAGGAATGGCAGAAAAGCAAAGGGGATAGAGCAGCGGGCTACTATACCATTTGGAAGCTAGTACCTTTAGCTATGTATCTGTGAAATTTGGCAAACCTACCCACAGAAGAAGTTCTCGAGAAATTGAAAAGAAGCCCGAGTGGTGAAAATGAGCGCCGGATTCTCGAATCAAGCATCATAAGAGGAGCTCAAATTTGACCTCTGTCGGACCAGTAGCTGCGTTTAATGATGTTCTCGAAATGCAAGGTAGAAGATTTGGAGATTTAGCTTGTAGAAGCACGGACGCAATACCAATTCTATGCCGGTAGCAACAATGTTCTTTGTATAAGATTTCATTCGTGACTCCGAAAACGCCTCCCGGCCCTAGACGAAAGATGGTCAGTCTTGAACTCCGAGTCATAACCTCAGAAGCGTCAATTTTGTATGAATGCAGATGAGAAGCCCCGAATTCTACCATGAGGAGTTACGTGGGCCCAAGTGGATGATCATCATAGCGAAGGATTTCTGCACTGTGGCTTTCAAGCGGCTCTATACAGAGAACAAAATCGTCGCTGTCGGTGTATATTGCCTGTTCCTCGGACAATCAGATCGACAAATGGATGGTACCACACAACTACAAGAAGGCCACCGTTGCTCGTCATAGTGCCAGACCCCGAGTAACTGTATTGTAGGGCAGTGCTGGGACACAAACAATACTGAGACCTGGGTTCAATCGCCTCATTCGCCCAACATAAAGCCGCGATTTCAACTGTTCTGGTCAGTCGAAGAAACTGCAAGCGCTACTCATTCGCCGAAATTAACATCAATAGCAATACACACGCACTTGTTGATAAAACGAAGGTACCGCCGATCCAAACGCTTTCAGGGCACTGGGAGCGGGTTTGATGAAAGAGGGATCTACTTAACTTGAAGCCAAAATATTACTTTTCTCTCTCTGTTTGCTTTTTGGTTTTATGTGAATAAAACCTTCCACATTTTTGAAAACGGGATGACCTAATATAAGGAAGTTGGCTGACTCGGAGAAAGTGCGATTTCTGACCGACCGGTTTACCAAAAACTTTCATGCAGCGGTACGCGCTGGCCTCCCCATGACTGCATATTTGACGGCAAATCCTTTTTGGAGTCAGAACGAAAAAGGAGTAATTTGACATGGAGCCTTTTATCTATTGCGAACTGTAAGAGATGAGATCATTGTCTCAGCTCCCATTATATTTACAGTGCATAACACGGCGCACTGATGGGGCGAAGGCATTGATCGACCCCAGCGGCGGACATGTTTTTGAATTAGATTTTCTAGCAATGGTGTGCCGATTTCCTATTTTCTGCGCCATGTCGGCAGACCGCCAGAAAATAGGAAATCCCAGGAAAAGGCAGTGGAAAAGGCGGTCGCCTTCAAAAATTAGCCCATTGGAGAGCGCCTGGAAAATTCTTTGCGTCCCTCATTTTCACTGATTGCAGATTGTGAATCTCCTAAACGATCTGTATAATGGATTTGACTCGATCATCGAAGAGCACTCCGTGTACAAGGTAAGACCTATATGTTCATGACCAAAGATCACCTTCATCATCTGTGGTCCCGCTAGCCATGTGCGAAGCATTTCGAGGACGTTGCCAATCCCGGAGAAGCAGAACTGTTAGAGGTAGAATTGCAGACAGCGCTGAGAAATGACTTGACGCTGCAACGCGAAAATCTCTCAAGTAGCCTGAAATAATGCTTTTGAATTGCTTAATGGCTCATTGAAGGCGATGTGGGCTACCTGATTCACACGTCAGTTTCCTATCCTCCAAAGGGAACGGATTCAACTTCCGATGAAACTTTGAAAGTAGGCCTAGGCACATCTATAGAGTCTCGACGGTTGAATGCGAACATGTGAATCAAAAATGCTAGGGGAATCTTCCGAACGAGTCCTGGGTGACCAAAATTTGCTGAAGCTGCAGTGTTGGCGTGCGAGCAGTGCTGACCGTGTGACCGCAGTGGTGACGGCCTCGCTTCGAAGCAAAATGTCTCTGGTTTCCTCCCCTCTCGACGGTACGAGAACCTTTGCTTTAAAGACACATGGTACGCTCAAACACATTGAGGGTGTATGAGACTATCAGCCCCCCAGCTGTCGATGTGTCGTGGTCCCCCCGCCCAAAACTGCACGGGGTCAGAGTACGGGAAAGTCGTAATTCCTTGCTACACCGCCCTCACGTTTATGCTAACACCATCCGCGCGGCGCGGTCGCGTGCAGCTCTCTTGGCTTTTTGCCAAGTCCTGTAATTGCGCTTTGGAATACAAGTACAACGCAATTTCTTTATGCGGATAACATTTTAGGTTCTGCAAAATAAGAACTGAAGATGATGACGAGGGCTAGAACTTA